TAGTGCTAGGGCAGGGCTATATAGATTATATAGTGAAAATGCATAAATTCTTTGAAATTCTTCTTATCTGTTTGTGGACATTAAATAAACTAACCAAGTGCATAGTTATGTTGAATAAGACTGCCTCTTCTCAAATTGTGAATTTAATGGCCCCAGGGTCAGGGGTTCTAGTGGTAGGGTGGGGCTATATAGATTATATAGTGAAAATGCAAAAATTCTTTGAAATTCTTCTTCTCTGCTCGTGGGCATTAAATAAACTAACCAAGTGCATAGCTATGTTGAATAAGGCTGTCTCTTCCAAAATTGTGAATTTCATGGCCCCAGGGTCAGGGGTTCTAGTGCTAGGACGGGGCCATATAGATTATGTAGTAAAAAGTGAATTATTTCTTTGAAAATCTTCTTCTTTGCTCCTGAGTATTAAATATCAAATAAACTAACCAAGTACATAGTTATGTTGAATTAGACTACCTCTTCCAAAATTGTGAATTTCATGGCCCCTGGGTTGGGGGTTCTGGTGTTAGGGCAGGGCTTTATTGATTATATAGTGAAAATGCATAAATTCTTTAAAACTCTTCTTTTCTGCACCTAAGTATTTAACCAATGAACTATGCACATAGTTATAAGGAGGAAGGATGCCTCTTTGAGATTTTTGAATTTCAGGGTCCCTGGGTTAGGGCTTCTTGTGTTAGGGCAGGGCTCTAATGTTTATATAGTGAAAATGCATGAATTCTTTGAAAATCTTTTCCTTTGTTGTTGGGTATAATGCCAATGATCTTAGTATATATTTATGACAAAAAAAACTGCTTCTTCCAAAAATGGTTAACTTCCTGGCCCCTGGGACTGAGGTACTTTGAAGGGGGGGGGGAACATAGTCTGAAATAATTTAATGCTTTGAAATCTGCACTTTGGTATTAATCAACAGCATGATGAAATAAAATTTTTAAAAATTTCCAAAATTTTGAAAGATGTGGCCCCAGAGTCAGTGATTCCTGAGGGATGGGGAGCTCAACTGTGGACCTGCCCTAACACAAGAAGCCCTGAGGGGCCCTCAAATTCACTGTGGAAATGCATTTTCTCTTTGTTACTCTGATCTGCCCTAATTCAATTGTTGGAAAGTTGTCGCATGATACTCAGGTGACCTATAAGGCCCATGGGCCTCTTGTAATAATTAAAAAAATTGATATCTCAAGGATAAACATAAACTCTTTTAAGACTTTTTATAATTTTTTTCTCCATTTCATAATCAACAAGAATTTTTATGCATTATAAAGCTGTGAATAAATTCCTTTTCTCTGCCAAAAATCTGAATCGACAAAAATCTCAAAAAAAGGCTTTGGTGTATCCTTAAGGTATCAATAAAAAAAAAATAATATCTCTGATAAACATAAACTTTTCTAAGATTTCTTTATGACCTTTTCTTCTTTATTTTAGTGGTGATTTTTGAGCCGACGACAGAGACCTGCACAGAGGGGACCAAGCAGTGCGACCTGAACGCCCAGTGTGTGGACTACCCCCTCGGCTACTGCTGCAGGTGTTTGGATAATTACTATGGCAACGGGATCAGCTGTCTGGAGATGGGTCAGTGTTCTAAATGACATTAAAGGGTCCATATGATAAAGTAGTCCTTAAGTATTATTTAGAGAATGAGACGAGTTCTGTATCATGCTACGCACTCGTCCACCCCCAAATTTGTATCTATGATACAGAACCTGTCGAGTTCTCTAAATGATTTGTGACACAATCAATCAATCAAAAATAGTCCCACCCACTTTATAACGTTGCAGCATCCAAACTTCCGCCAGAGTTTTGTAGTTGAGGTCCCGACGGGGAGTACGCGTCCGCAGTATATATATATTTCCACGGAAAACGTAAAATTCGGTCAGATTAGTTTTGACAATTTAACGGGGTAGGCGTAATCGAGTGATAGTAGTCTTAATGGATAAGGTGGAGAATGTAACCGCCATTGTTGTGTAGATGGAGATTGATCATAATATATTTCAGGGGCCTTAAAATCCCGGTGTAACTAGATTTACTAAAACAGGATTTACAGAAAATTCTTCGATGGATTTGGATGTCACTGATTTTTATTTTCTAATTAAATTGCGACATTAAAAAACAAAGTGAAAGAGATATGTGCTGTCGTCAGCGAGAAGGATTTTAAAAAATAAAAACGCGGAAAAAATGGACTTGAATAATTTTGCACGAGATGAGTGGATGTTTTCCGTTGTTGCGAATTTTCCATTTCGTTTGGATCTGTAGAGGATGTTTTCCGTTATTGCGAATTTTCCTTTTAGTTTGTATCGAAATTACGTGTATATTCTGTGGAATAAGTTTTTAAAAAGTGATTGAGAAATTTTGACATTTTACATTCTTAGGAAAATACCGGGTTTAAATTTATAATAGGAAAACATCAGTATTTACTATTTGTATGTGCTTTTGCTAAATTGAATCAGATTTATTTTTAGATCGTGCTGTATTTTAGATACAGAATAGTTAGCAAATACAATACTGTATACAGGGCTAATACAGAACGAAAAGTAGCTCCGCCCACCACAGTCCCGTTCTGTATTGCTAATACAGAACAGTAAACTTCAAAGAAAAACACTGCTATCGTGTCACAATTTGTTTTTTATACGCCCGTCTTAAGACGGGACGTATTATGTTATAGGCTTCATGTCCGTCCGTCCGTCTAGCTGTCCGTCTGTCCATTCATGTCCGGCTCATAACTTGAATACTATTAGACCTAGGATTATCAAACTTTGACAGTTGATACTTCTTGGGTAGACTTGGGTAGACGATGTGTCGCGCACAAAAAGTAGGTCGCTGTGACCTTTAATAAAGATGCTATGACCAAATATGGAAAAATCCTGTCCGGCTCATAACTAGAAAACTATTAGACCTAGAGCTTTCAAACTTGGCAAAATTATACATCTTAGGTAGAAGGTGTGTCGTGGCCTATTTCAAGGTCACTGTGACCTTAAATTTAAGTGAATTTAATAAAAAAATTTAAGTCTTTAAAATTTTAAATTTCATAATCCTAAAAAATGTAAAAATATAGTTGTATTCTTAATTAAAAATGTTAAATCAAGTAAAAACTTATTTTTTTATTATATACTTTACAGCAATCTGTAACAAATGTTAATGTTTTGAGAGGAATTCAGTTTGTCCCATGGGCATAATTATCAAGCACTGGTCAAGAAGAATTTTGATAGCAGAAATTTGCATGTCAAATTAGAGAGAAATTAATGAGTTTATTGTCAGGAGCTAACTGGTAGTGCAGATCTCTTATAATGTAGCTGTTATCTTTATCTTTAATCTCTTGGGAGTTGGGCAAAAAGAAATGGCCTCACAGTTGCTTGTGTTAATTAAGAGTTCTTGATGGCTAGTTCAGAAAAAGATCTTTCAATTGGTGTAATGTAATTGAAACAAATTGATGCTTTAAAATACAGTGTATAATAAAAACTAAATTAATATTGCATAATATAATTAAAACTAGGCCTTATTAAAAAATGTTAAATTAAGTAAAAACTTTTTTTTTTTCATCATTATAATATACTTTTACAGCAAACTGTAGCAAATGTTAATGTTTTGAGAGGAATTCAGTTTGTCCCATGGGCATAATTATTGAGCACTGGTCAAGAAAAATTTTGATAGCAGAAATTGCATGTCAAATTAGAGAGAAATTAATGAGTTTATTGTCAGGAGCTAACTGGTTGTCTAAGAGCATCTCTGTTAATGCAGCTGTTATCTTAATTTATCTTTTGGGAGTTGGGCAAAAAGAAATGGCCTCATAGTTGCTTGTGTTAACTAAGAGTTCTTGATGGCTATAGCCCAGATAAAGATCTTTCAATTAGTGTAATGTAATTAAAACAAATTGATGTTTTAGTGTATGATTAAAACTAAATTAGTATTGTATAATATAATTAAAACTAATTATACATGTGTTCATTGAAAAAAAATTACATTTCAATTTTTATATATTTGCAACAAATTGCAGTCATGTCTCACTTAGAATTTTATAGTCTAAAGAATAAGATATTTTTGATTTTTTTTGTTAGACTGTAGCATTTCCATTATTCCATAAATTATGCAATTAACAATTTAAAGCTGCAGATGGATATTTGTTAAGTTCTAACACAGCCAGTTTAGAATTATATGATGTATTATTTGTTATAATTAATCCCTACACTGTAAGTATCTTAGAGATGTATATATGTACAATGTTTTAAACATGATAAGAAATTGAAATTAGATCATTGAAATCTGTGTCAATCTGTTAATCAAGGTTATCTGATTTTTTTGCACCGTTACCAATTTATGATTATTGAACAATATATTTGATGGGCGTATCATGCTGTGGCGGGGCACTTTATTTTTTAATGCAATTTTTTTAATTTGATTTCTCAGAAGTCTTGTTAAGAAAATAGATGTACATAAAAAAAATTCAATCTTTATGTCAGATGTAAATGATATTGAAAAGGATTTTAAACCCCTTGTATACCCCTGGTACATAGTGGGTCAAAAATGAAAATTTTGTTTAAGTAATTTTAACTATAGGCATTAGTGAAAATTTAAAGGTGCTTGACTGTTCAATACTGTAACAAACGTAAAGGATTTGTACTAAGAAATGATAAACATAAATGTTTTTTTGACACTGAATTTTTCCCATTAATACTTATTATGAGTGTTTTGTAGGAGAGCCTCAGCGATTGAATGGCAAGGTTTATGGAGAACTGAACGGAAGCCCTGTAGCTAATCTGGACATGCATATATACATTGTGTCGCGAGACGGGAGAGCTTACACTGCCGTCAGCCGCATACCTCCAGAAATGGAGGGAAATATGCGCTCATTGGTTACCATTGGAGGAATCATGGGATGGATGTTTGCACAGACTCAACATCCAGATGCCAAAAATGGATACACGTTGACAGGTAATGTTGATTGGTAATGTTGACAGGTAATGTTGATTGGTAATGTTGACAGGTAATGTTGACAGGTAATGTTGACAGGTATTGTTGATTGGTAATGTTGACAGGTATTGTTGATTGGTAATGTTGACAGGTATTGTTGATTGGTAATGTTGACAGGTATTGTTGATTGGTAATGTTGACAGGTATTGTTGATTGGTAATGTTGACAGGTATTGTTGATTGGTAATGTTGACAGGTAATGTTGACAGGTAATGTTGACAGGTATTGTTGATTGGTAATGTTGACAGGTATTGTTGATTGGTAATGTTGACAGGTAATGTTGATTGGTTTTGTTGACAGGTAATGATGATTAGTAATGTTGACAGGTATTGTTGATTGGTAATGTTGACTGGTAATACAGTAAAACTCATTTAGTACGAACACGGATATAGCGAATTCACGGATATAGCGAAGTTTTTCTAGGTCCCCGGCAAAATTCTTAACAAATCTTTGTAAAATTTTACGGTTATAACGAACTCTGATATAACAAATTTACGGATATAGCGAACTGATTTTGAGTCCCATTGAGGTTAAATACAATGAAATTTACATCTTTTATAAGGAACTTCAGATTAAATAGGTCGTCCTGACTTTAATTTCTGTTAGCTTCTGTATATAAAATTCAACAAAACCTTAGTTATCTAAGGTATGTTTTGTAATATTTGCTTCCACAACATATTTGGTAGTAATACTTGAAGAAAAATATGCATATTATTGCAAATTCGCTATATATGGTAAAATTCGTTATACGGATATAACAAATTACGGATATAGCGAATTAAATTCACAGGTCCCAAGGACTTCGCTATAACCGAGTTTTACTGTATTGAATATCAATTACATTGTGACATTTGACACACAGTTTCCTAAACTTTACTGCTATTCCTATATTACAAGCAAACCAAAACTCTAAAGATTCTTTTAAGTAATAAAAATATGATTTTTGTTGTCTGTGTGTCACGTAGCATTTTATATGACTGATATCCTTTCTGTAATTACATCTTTCCAGGTGGAGTTCTGAATCGTACCGCAGTAATTAGGCATTCTACAGGAGAACAGGTCCAGATCATTCAGAAATTCTTTGGTCACGATGCCCAAGGTCACATGAGACTAGAAACTGAAATCCAGGGCAGCGTTCCCGCGGTCCCAGTCAATTCTACCTTCACTCTCAATGATTACATAGAGGAGTATGAACGAGTTGGAGCAGGTATTATACGCACTCTTGTTATGTCTGATTGTAACATTTGTAAGTTGTTCTTTGTACATGTACTGATAAAATCTCTTTTGTTAATATGTACATTATCATATATTTCATAATATTTACTTGCAAGAAAAATCTTTCATTTATGTACTTTGTCAAACTTTATACCTTGGAGATTATCTTCAGAATTTATATTTGATACTCTTCTTTTAAGACTTTGCACTAAATTAAACTTCACCAGGCTTTGTTCTCCCTGACTTAAATTCACTTGTTACATGTACTTTGTACTTTACATCAGACTTTGTACTTTAAAGACTGTTTACTTTGTAGGAACCTGGCAATCCGTATCTACTGGCCGTTACATTGTGAACGGAAGAACTCGTCAGTATGAACTGGATCAGACCATCAGGTACGAGGAATGTAAATACAGCACTGACCCCCAGCCCGACGTCCTGAGGCTGTCCACCAGCAGGAATTATCTCAGTTACGAGGAGGACCAGAAAATCGTCCGCTACATCTTGACGGCAAAAATAGGAGTCAGTCGAACAGGTATTGTCCTCAAATTAATTTCGTCCAAAACCTCTAAATTTGATCCTTTTGAAAATTAAATTACATTGTACTATTTGGGATGTTACACTGTGTTACCTCCCCTTTAATTTCCATCAGGTCTTGATCCATGTATAGAGGGTGCTACTAAATGTCACTCGTCTGCGGAGTGTATTCCAGACGGAACAGATTTTAGGTGTCAGTGTCGTACAGGATTCCTTGGGGATGGAACAGACTGTCAAGGTATCCAAAGTTTTTGTGTACAGTAAAACTTGTTTAGTACAAACACGGATATTGCGAATTCACGGATGTAGAGAAGTTATCTTGGATCCCTAATTATATAAATTTAACGAATTCCTTATACGAATATAATGATTTATGGATATAGCAGAGTAATTCCATAGGTCCTACTGACTTTGTTATAACATAGTTTTACTATATTCCCTTAAAAGCTCCGGTATTTCCTACGAATAGTATTACTAAGTGCCAGTACAATGAATTTTCTGTTAAAAAACATGAAATGGCTTAATTTCCTTATAATCGTAGAATTATAATATATTTACTGTTACTATTACAGTATTACAATCTTTTAATCATAGCTAGTTTTAATTTCACACATTTTTATACATTAATTTTTCTTGAACATAGATTTATTAGATTTAAAGCTACATGTATTTGACTATATTGGACTTATTGGTTTGTTTGATTTCCATTCCAGATGTGAACGAATGTACAGATAACCCCTGTGACGTTAACGCTGACTGTTACAACCTTCCTGGCTCATTTGAGTGTACCTGTCGATTCGGTTTCACAGGAAACGGGCTTCAGTGTCAGCGTAAGAAACAACCAATTGAGATCTTTTCTTTCTTTTTCATAAATCAACACAAAACATCAAAATTATGAAGACATAAATATCAACTTATTAATAGAGGTGGCTTTCACTTTCTGGGATTAAAATAAATGTATATTATTATTTTATTCATTTTTTCTTTGCACGAGTTTTACAGTGTTTACTCCCCCCCCCCCCCAAAAAAAAACTGTGTTTGAATTTGACATAACTATCAAGTGTTACAAGTATTTATCTGAAGAAAAGTTTCCACAGCTATATTTTATCAATCTATGTTACTTCTTTTCAAATAAAGGAATGAAGAACTTTTTCATTCCAGTGGAGAATATCTCATAATTATTTACAAATAGAATTTGTTTTTAAAATTTGACTCCAAAAAAATGATAGGTTTACATTATACCAAAAATACAAATTTTAAATCATTGATTACCAGAAAGGGTATATGATTTTGTTTCTTCATACTGCCACAATGTGCTATGATTTGTGTGACTGTTTTTGATTTTCAGGAGAGGTGTCATTATGTGATGGTGATGTCTGCCATCAGAATGCTCGCTGTGTTTTCAACAGTGACATCGGCCTGCCCATGTGTGAATGCAATGCTGGCTTCTATGGAGATGGGCTGAACTGTACTGCTCTAGGTGTGTTTACTTAATACAACTTTTTTACACATATACAATTGTTCTAGTGTAACGAGACCTCTAAGGTCTCGCTCTCAGTCTTTGAGAGTAAAGATGTATTCCTGCTCTTTCAGTAATTGAGGTCCTTCTTGTCTTATTATAAAGTGCCTCTTCTATCTCATAAGTACAAAACTGTAGATCACTCAATTTTCACACCATATTTTCGCAAAAAGTCATTGACTCTTCATAAGTGAGACATCCTGGTTATTGCTCTATATACCCCTTAATCTTCATAAATACTATATGTGAGAAAGAAATTTTTGCAAGCACACTATCTCACATGTGAAAATAATGGTCTTGCAAATAAAATTGATTTACAGTACTGTAGATCACTAAATTTTCGCGACACCTTATTTTCGCGAGATTGTCATTGACTGTTTGTAAGCAAGACATAATTTTCACGAATACTTGTTTTTCCTCTATATACTCCTAAGGAATACTTTTATATGCAAGAATTAAATTTTGGCGAACACATTGTGTCGTGTAATTACACGAAAATAAAGTTAACGTGAATAAAAAGTTATTATGCCCCCCTTCGAAGAAAAAATATTGCTTTGCTGCTGTCTGTCAGAGAGAAACTAAACTGTATTCCCTGTCCGTACGACTTTTTGGTCCACAACCCTCCGTTCATTTACTTCACAACCATTGCACATACTGAAATGAAATTTGGTATACTGATATATCACATGAATATCTAGGCCAAGTTCTGTTTTGAACGCACCATTTTTCACAGAGTTATGCCCCTTGGACTTAGAAAAATTTCAATTATTTGCAGTTTCCATTCATTTTCTTCAAAACCATTGCACATACTGAGATGAAATTTAGAATACAGATATATCACATGAATATCTGGGTCAAGTTCTGTTTTGGGTATGATCGCACCACTTTTCACAGAGTTATGCCCCTTGGACTTAGAAAAATTTCAATTATTTGCAGTTTCTGTTCATTTTCTTCACAACCGTTGCACACACAGATGAAATTAAGTATACAGATTAATCAGATGAATTTTTAGGCCAAGTTCTGTTTTGAGTACGATCGCCTCATTTTTCACAGAGTTATGCCCCTTGGACTTAGAAAAATTTAATTCTTTGCAGTTTCCGTTCATTTTCTTCAAAACCATTGCACATATTGAGATGAAATTTAGTATACAGATTAATCAGATGAATATCTAAATCAAGTTCTGTTTTGGGTATGATCGCACCACTTTTTACAGAGTTATGTCCCTTGGACTTAGAAAAATTTCAATTATTTGCAGTTTCCGTTCATTTTCTTCACAACTGTTGCACATACTGATATAAAATTTAGTACACAGATTTATCAGATGAATATCAAGTTCTGTTCTATGTACTATCATGCCATTTTTGACAGAGTTTTGCCACTTGGGCTTGGAAAAATTCCAATTTGACTCCATAAAAAACATCTCTTGTTTACAGTATATAAAAGTACATGTAATGAAGTCTGCCCTATCTTTGAGTATTTGAGTGTAATAAGGTCTACCTTGTCTTTTAATTACAGTGTTTAAGAGTAATGAGGTCTGCGTTTTCTTTCAGTATTTGAGTGTAATGAGGCCCCGGAGGTCTGCCATCAGGATGCGGAGTGTGTGTACGACTATAACGAGCAGCGGTACAAGTGTGAGTGTGGGGAGGGGTTCAGTGGGGATGGACTCGTCTGCGAGACCATCAGTGAGAGCCAGTGTGAGCGGTGCCACGTCAATGCTACGTGTGTCTTCAACATCAACACGTTTACCCACGTCTGTCAGTGTAATCCGGGATTTACTGGCGACGGAAGATACTGTTCTACTATTGGTAAGTAATTTTAGTGTTAAACAATTATTGATAATTATTTTTACTATTTAGAAATTCGGTTTTATTTTTACTTGCAACTTGCAAGGTGCATTAAAAATTATTATTCTATATGATGTTCACTGAATCAAACTTTTAAGATTCAAGGTTATTAGAGGCAAGTTATAACTGTATGACTATGATGAATAAAACACTATTTAGGATTTAAGGGGGGACCTACGTCCAAAAAATCTTTGTGTGAAATTTTCAAAACTTTGACAGTTCTTTCCTGACCACTTGCTCTGAATTTTTAGGTATTAAAAACAATACCTTTATATGCTTATTTTTACACAGGAGCACGTGCAAAAACAGTGTGAAATGCTAAAAATAGATTATTTTCAGTCAATATTGTTCTACCCCAAATATGCGCTAAAAAGAACTAAAAATGTCAAATCAAGTTCAAAATCAACACTTATTTAATTTATATGACTTGTATCTTTAAAATGGAGGCAAATTCATTGAAATCCATCTCGCATGAAAAATTATAATGGAGCACAATGTAAGTATTACCCCATTTTTCTTGTCATATTTTTTACAATTCCGACATGCATAACAGATAATATCTTAAAAAGTCTTTGTGTGAAAATGTTGTAATTCATATTTTTTGAAAGAAATGATTCATCTCTTTATTTCAACAAAGAAAAAAGTATACCTTTATGATAAAATAAACGAGAAATATGACGTTTCCTTTTATTTTTGTACATCAGGTGTCATAAATGTGTGTCTGCACTAAAAAAGGGTAAGTAAGCACTGACAAACACCTGAATATAAAACTATTTTGCGGAAAACGAGTGTTCTGTTTTGATAAGAAACAATTTAAATAGATAATTTTTTTTCTACATTCCATTCATTCTGTCCCCCCCCCCCCCATTTCCCTGTCAACAACCAATGCATATTAGAACCTAGAAAAAATGACTTCATACAATAAAACCTACATGTACTACGTAAATCAATAAGCAAATATACACCTGTACAAGTACATTTCTTAATTTTTTTCTTAGTTTTCTCCAGAAAATCGATTAATGGCAATTATAAAATTAAACATATTTCCCTTATTTAAGCCGCTTTCTTTGCTGAATTTTATTTCTTTTTTGCACTATTATACCAGCATATTATCGAGGTATTTTTTTCACAAAAGACATTGCTATGAATTATCAACCAAAGGAAGCGAATCTATTAACAAACTCCATAAATCAAATAAAACTGTGATTAATGATGAATAAATTTTCCTTTTTGTAAATTGTGTACGTAATTGATTATCAACAATGTTATGCCTATATCACAGTTGCAAAAGTCAACAGGTAAAAACAAACGTCGCTATTGTGACGTCACATAACGCTGCTTTGACGTACAACGACATGGGTCCCCCTTAAAATAAAGATTTCCAAATAAATGGTTGTTGATCAGATTCGTTGAGATAGAAATTCTTCACAGAGAACAACAAATATCTTTTTTCAGAGGTTCCAGATGTTTGCAGACGTTGTAGTGAGAATGCCGAGTGTTTGTACGATGTCTCTAAACAAGACTACACGTGTCAGTGTCGATCTGATTACCGTGGTGACGGCTTCAACTGTACTCAGGTGGACTGTCGCTACGAACAAATCTGCGATCCCAATGCTGACTGCATGTATGATCCATTTGAACTGAGGCATCTGTGTCTGTGCAGAAATGGATTTACAGGTTAAAAATTTATGCTTGAAATAAATAGATTAAACTTTTCTCTTTAACAATATTATGTTTTTTCCAATACAGCTTGGAATAAGTTTTGAAGAAAACCTTTTGATAACATAAATTAACAGATACCTGTACATGTGACTCTCAATGAACTTAAAGCGTGCAGGAATGTGGTAAAGAAAGGCTGCAGGAATGTGGTAAAGACAGTTTTAGAGTTTGACTAAGAGAGGATCACCTAAACTTTTTTGTCTGTAGGTAATGGTATGACTTGCGAGCCTGAGGGGTGTGAAGTTTACAATGACTGTGACGTGAACGCCCAGTGTCTCCCGGATCCTAGGTATACCAATAGGTACGCCTGTCGCTGTAATCAGGGATACAGGGGGGACGGCAAATACTGTCAGCAAGAGGGTAAGTCGGCTTAAATTGACCAGGTGGAATTGGTTTATAATCTGGAAAAAATTCTTATTGAGTTGTCTAAATTTACAGGGTGAATTAGTTTATAATTAAAATGGGGGGGAAAAGGTGTTTGATTATAACAGATTACATATTTGAGAATTTCAAGCAATATATGTGCATAATGATTTGTATTACAGAGGTTTCCTGTAACCAGATCAACAACTGCTCCCCGTTTGCCGAGTGTCTGTACAACCTCTCTGTAAACTCCTTTAGGTGTCGCTGTAGGCCAGGCTATGACGGCGACGGAAAGATCTGTACCCCTAGTGGTAGGTCATCAAACATTTCCAGGCCCCGGGGACATAAAACTTAGAGGAGCTCAATTTTGATTTAAGTCTCACTTTGTCACTGTGTATTCCTTTTGTAAAAGTGAGACTGAGATCAAAAGTGAGCTTGTCTAATATTTAGGGCCCTTGAGCCAGGACCCTGAATTTTTAGACTCATCCATGCAGATTCTTGTCCTCTTTTGTGTATATTGCACACACATAAGCATTTTGATGATCAAAATGCTAGTGGAATGGATTTTAAATTTTTGAATGGAAAACACTTTAATATAGAACGTAATTACAAATATGAGGTAAAAATTGTGTTATCTAAATCTATAAATGTAGATATATTTGTTGTTTCTATTGTGAAGTTGAGAATGTAAAGGAACTGTGTTTTGCATAATTCTAAATGTGTGTCATATTTTATTTCAGGTCATAATTGCCAGAGAAATCCTACCGTGTGTGATCCTAATGCTAACTGTGTTCCCACTGGAGACATGTACATGTGTGTGTGTAACTCCGGCTTCAGGGGAGACGGCAAGCTTTGTTACAGTAAGTTATATACAAGGTACAGTTTCAGAAAGTACAGATTCAAAAGAAACAATTTACATGTTTCAATATGAAAGCATATGTGTATGATATTGCCAGATGCTTGTGTTCACTCTCTACCATCGGCTCATACATTCACCTTTGTCGTTGGCTCGCGTATCACAGTGATAAACACAAAAAATAGTGTGTTTGCTTTAATACATTATAATTCAATTTCTATGCTTATGTCTGAGTTTTGAGATAGATATTTATTTTTTTTGTGGGGGGGGGTGTAAAAAGGGTGATTTTGAATAATTTGACCATATACATCTAGTCACTAGAAAAGATGAGAAAAGATTACAGTGACACAAATTAATGTAATTAGATTTGAGACAGGTTATCAGTCATCTATATTGGTTTTGATCTCTATTTTTTCAGGGACAAGCTCTGACGACTATCTGTTACTGTCTCAGGGTAAAACAATCAGTCGTGTCAATATGGACCAAGAAGATGGACCAGGGCAACTTATTCTTTACCAGCCTGGTAAGTCTCTGTAAAGATTGAATTCTCCATCAGCCTAATAAATCTAGATAAATTATTCTCTACCAACCTAGTAAGTCTGCAGGAAATTAGTGCGATATTTCAAAATTAAGATACGAATGTAGTACTGGAGGATTTGTTTAAAAAAGTTTTGTTTACTACATGGCAATTGTTGATTTTAATGTACCATATGTGTAACTAAGAGTATGAATAATCCTATTGTTAGAACATGTTTTGTAAGAAGAATTTTGATTGGCTGTTACAGATCAGCTGATTGTTGCCGTGGATGCTGATTGTGCTGATGGCAGTATACTTTACACTGATGTTGTGGGAGGAAATATTTACCATGCTTCTGGAAATGGTTCCAGTCTTAATGTCCTGGTATCAGGCAAGTGTTTTGAAATTTGTCTCTTGAGAAAACCACATTTAAATGTACCTGTATAATGTTTTGATAGCAGCAAAGTTCACAAATAGCCTATATTTTAAATTTTGAAAATTTGATTTTTTTCAATATTTACAGGACACAAAATGTCAGTTTGGCCAATTTAACTAAATATCTAATAAGAAGGACATAATTTTCTCATTAGTCTCTGTACTACATGTATATACATGTACTCATCATCATGCCTATTGTTTTCTGTTAAAGGTCTGAAGTCCCCTGAAGGTCTCTCCATAGACTGGGTGTCGCGGAACATGTACTGGACAGACTCGGAGATGGACTGTATCGAGGTGTCCAGACTGAACGGAACGTCCAGAAAGAGGCTGTTTGACAAGGAACTGGTCAATCCCAGAGCCATTGTAGTCAATCCACAGAGAGGGTCAGTTATTTTGACCAGCAGTATAAACAGAAGAACAGAATTTCTATAAGCTATTACAAATATAAGCTTTATTTTCAGTATCCATATTTTAAAAAAAAAATAAACAAAAGAAAAACTTTACAAAGTTCCACGTAATTTTTTGTACAACAATGTATAATATTATTCCTCATAATTATTAAGTTATGTTTGTTATTTTTCTTCATTATTTTATCACTTTCACATTTTCAACTCTGCACTAAATCAAATACCTCAGTGGGCCCTTGATTTTAGACGGTTAATTGTTTGTTTTATTTCTTACTGGAAATAATTTGGAATTTCCCCAATTTTGTAGGAGAATGTACTGGACAGACTGGAACCGAGGCGCCCCTAAAATAGAAGTGGCTGACATGGACGGCACAAACAGAAAGGTGTTCGTAGACTCTGACCTCAGTCTGCCTAATGGTTTGACCCTTGACCTGTATTCCAGTCAGGTGTGTTGGGGAGATGCAGGTAAATTATTCATACACGTATATGTATTAGAAGAGTGGGGATGCCTGTTTTGCAGCTGCAGGACTGACTGAGATTGCCTGATGGATTTAATAAAACCATTATTCACAGAATTACAAAAAAATTTACAATAACTGGGCAAGCATATAAATCTTTGAAAATCCTCAACAAATGTTCATAAATATGGCTTTCAATCGCAGTACAGTTAAGGTGCGCAATGGAAATATCGACTAAATTTTGTATTTAAAAATGTATTCGTAATCGGGATGGCGATTATTTTTAGTACATTATTTATATCGGATAATTGTAATGATGATTAATAACTACATATCGAGGACAATTATATTTTATTTTTAGACTAGTCACGTGATGCGGCAGTCACACGATTTTAGCACATTGACTTGAAGTATTGATGTTACATATAAATATCACTAGTGCAAGGGCATAACCAAGTTAATTTTCCAAGTTTAGTATATATATATTTTCAACACGCATTGTAGTTTTTAAAACGTGCTGCGATCCTGTCTAAATTCTGCAATTTCATTGTTAAAATTACACTTGTGTGACCGAATGCTATATTTTTTGCTGGTCAGCTGCATGAAATATTGATAGAATTAAATTGTTTTTAAGATTTCATCAGGATCGCAGCACTTTTCAGATACCTTAATAGTTCTATAGTTGAAATGTAAAAGCTTACTTTGATCCATCGAGTGTATGCCCTTGCACTACATCGATTTATTAAGACCCCCCACATTACCCTCCGATGTACTTGCATACAAATATAGGGCAGTGTCAATTAAATACGTAATGTACAGAAAATGTATTAATAAAATAGTGAAGAAGACATTAAATTCAAGTTATTTGCCCATAGAATATCTGTAAATAATATTGTATTTAATTAGAGAATGTACATATTTTGTTGAGAAAATATTACTTGATCTGTCTCTCACTGCACACAAACTACTTCACGTTGTAAGAAATGACGTCTTATTGACAATTGTATTGCGATCAGTGACTTGTTTATAACTTGTTATGTGGAATTTAACTAACGACAAAACAACACGCTGTAGTAAGTTTTTATATAGTTTGATGATTTCTTACTGGTTAAATTAGCAGATAAACTCATTTTGTGGTATTTTAAAGAAATGTTGTATGACGTATATTGTGTATGATGTCATAGTCAAGTTTTCCATTAAAACTTTTTCCTTTTTGTAACCTTAACTGTGCTGCGATTCTTTCTTTTATTGAAAATTTCAGAATTAAAAAGAATCCTTTCATTTACTGTGCTAATCAAATGAATGTTTGAAATAATTATCAGTAAAAAATGTCCTTTCTCAAAATAAATATTTTTTTATCTCAGGATCCAGAAAAGTAGAATGTGTACGTGAAGATGGAGTGGGGCGTGTTACTCTGACAGACTCCGCCCCTTATCCGTTTGGCATCACTTACCAAGGAAACAGTGTGTACTGGACAGACTGGTCTCAGTAAGTTAGGGAGCATTGGAGCTTTCTCATTTGTCCAAGCTTAGCATTGTCCTTTTTTCTATATTAAATTTTAGCTGTTAAATCAGTGATTTGATGCATTGTCAACGTTTCTTGATTTCACACCATATTTTAAAAACAAATGTTTGAATATTAAAGTTTTAAATTAATCATCTCCTATTTTGAAGGTGTATAAAAATTCACATTCCCTCGGTCATAAATCTTTTTCTCCAAAATAATTATACTTGTCAATGTTTTAGATAATAAGCTTTCTACCCACTAATTGTAGGAACTCTGTGATGGAGGTGAGCCGTGGGGTGAGACCGACGAGTTCTCTACAACTTCCTGTGGGAGGGAACGGCAAGCTGTACGGAATCACCAGTGTGTCATCCTGTCCCAGAAGTAATTGTTTATCTTATCTTCATTATCTCTCTACAAAATATTTCTATCTAGAAAAAATAGAAATCTCTAGAGGGTGAGATAATTCTAACATAATAAGACTTCTAAGAAAGTGTCATCCTGTCCCGGCAGTTATTGTTTATCTTCATCTTATATAAAAGCACTATCTCTCTGCTTAATTCTAGAATGTTACACTGTGTTTTGATCCATATGATGACTTGACTTGTTTGAATTTTAATTGTACATCATCCATTAGAGACTTGTTATGTTTTCAACTTTATGAGAAGCTTCATTTAATGAGCAGTGGTCACTGCCTCTTAAATTTATTCTCTGCATCTAGAATGATTTTGGAATTACGGGGCATTCAAATTCAGTTGTTTAATTAGCAAAAGATGATTCATGCTTGTTGAAGAATGAATACTGAATATTATGATTATTATTTCAGTAAACAATGCCTGCTCCCTGAACAATGGTGGGTGCCGGTTCCTATGTTTACCCACACCTAATGGTGGCAGAACCTGTATGTGTCCTGATGACATCTCTGAGCAGAAATGTAACGAGATTTCCGTCATCAGAAAGAAAAAGTAGAGGTAAAGCTAGAGCCAATCAAAAGAATTTAAACAATGAAAATTAAATTTAAAATTCGGACATAAATGGTAATCAAGCGAAATAGAGTTAAAAACTGTCATAGTAAATACACTTGCAATAAATTCTTGTGTAGAGTAAAGTAATTTTTATTCTCCTTAAGTTTAAAAATAAGTAAGTAATGTCTTGTGAACAAACAAAGAAATTAAAAGTCCTTGTCCTTGGTACCACTAAAATAGTGTCTATTTAGAGTTATTGCTCTTCATATACATGTATCTGGTGCTTTTTCTTTTATACTATGCAAGTTATTCTTACCTGCGGTGAAGGCTCAAGTGATTTTTTTCTAATTAAAATTTATCTGTTGGCATCATCATTGACATTGTAAACTTTTCAATATTTTCATCTTCTTCTCGAGAACAAATGAGCCAATTTCAACCAATCTTGGCACAAAGTATCCATTGATAAAGGGGATTCAAGTTTGTTTGTTTTTTTCCCAAATGTGGGCCCATGCCCCTTTCCAAAGGAGTATAATTCATAGATGTTTCAGAAAAAAATGAAACTTTTGGGAAAGCTTCCTGATAGAAATTTTTGCCCCACTTACCCGATGACCTTTGTTTGAACATACTTGAATCTTTAAAGATTTTCCTCTCAAGAACAACTGTGCCAGAAGAATTGAAATTTACAAGAAAGCTTTATTACGTAGTGTAGATTAAAATTTGTCAGAATCTTGAGCCCTGGGTGTAGTGTGGGGCCAAAAGTAATCAAAGAGCAAAAGCCACTTTGGGCCTTAATCGGCCCTAAGAATTTCTGAAAAATCAAAACCGATCAGTTTAGGTTGCAAATGCAGTATTTATTACATAGAGTGTTGGTGACCACGTATCTATTAATTGTGACGTAATTTTCCATGTAGTCAATGCATTATGACGTCATAAAATGCGTCATTTTCCTCATATCCTGTAAATTCCATTGAAAAAGACTTAAAGTTGAAGCATTTTTTCAATATTTGATATACAGCACAACCTCTGATCCACAAAATGTAAATACATAATGAAAGCTCTATTTCTGAAGATCAAAAAACAAGTTTTATTTTTTGGATCGTGGGCTGTGCTCATATTTTAATTCTTTGCTGAAGGTTGTCAAATAAGCATGTTTTCTGCAAATTGCAAGAACATCGCAATTTCTCATACCTGTTTTCCAATATCTGGATTCTCAAAACGCAACTTTATTATAGAAAATGAAAGCACCAAGTGTCTACTTTATTTTGATATATGAAATGGCAAAGAGGGTGATAGTTAATTAATTGATATAAGTACAGGGCCGTTTTATGCATAAGATGGCTCTTGCTCTTTTTACATTGAATATTTCGTGACTGAGATGAGAATTGTAGGCAGTGGCCTCTTGTTTTGTAATGCTTACCACAAGATTTTTTTTTCTTACAGGAAGGGACCAAATAGTCACAAATACTCAAGAACTTGAGAGACGAGGAACAAGTTATGTGTGAGACATCATAGAACTCAGCATGTGCCAAACAGAGACGTTATAGCTGAATTAATGGTGATTTTAGTTTGTGGACTTGTGTAAATACTTGGTAGCTAGCAGTATTCAGATTGTCTGGGTGTCTGTAGTGTCGATGAGAGAGTGTGAGTGTTATGGAATGACAAGATGACAGAATTGTCATTCTTTTAGGAATAGAAGCCATATGAAATAGATTTATTCTAGTGGTCAAATAGAATGTGTACCAATAAAAAATAATCCTTTTAATACATTGTTAACTGTTCCATTAAAAAAATACTCATGAATGCAACATAATCAGAAGTGATTTTACCTAGAATAAACATTTACCATTTTGCTTAAGGAGTTAAACATCGGAAAAGGGTTTTTTCACCTGTGTTTTGCAAATCCCAAAGATTTTGTTGGTTAAATGTTATATAGTCAAATATTGTTATACATAAGTAGTATATTGTCGATTAATTCTTTTTAAAGATGTATTTGATGCTTTTATAATAGTGTCATGGTTTGTATGTTTATTTTATTTTCAGAGAAAAAACATATTTTGTTGAATTTTAATTTGGACGTAAAAACTCCTTTTTATACTAGGCCTGAGAGTTATAGATATAAGTGTAGTACTAATGTGTGTATTTAACTGGGACTTTATTTTAGACATGGTATTAAATTGACAATAATTCCTTGTTAATTTGATTCTTATTTCCATCTTTATCTGAAAGATCAATGAAAAGGTGATAAAAGATCAATTCTTGTCAGTTCCACCTGAGCAGGTGACGAGATTTGTTGATCCTTCATTAATCCAACTTTTTTTTTCTTTTTTTTTTCTCATATTTCAAAATCGTTAATGTGACGTATTTCTCTGTATTCTGTGAATTTAGTTTTTCAAGATCAATGTATAACAGCTGACTATTGCCATGAAAGGCAATAAGGAGAATAAAATTATTAATAATTATTTATTGTCATTGGTTTATTGATAGACAAAATTATAGAATGGTGAGTTCACAGCCAACAAATGGAAGGTATTCAATGTTTTGTACGGATTAACTTCGGTATCCCGACATTGGACGTGTCAACAACCTGGGTTACATATGTATGTCAATGTTGAATACTCAGTTTCATGGGACAGAATTTATTTTTTTGGATATTTTAATGAGTATGAAGCACAATTGAAAATATGAAAATAATTCTATGAAGTAAATTCCATATTAAATTACAAAACATTGAATTTTCTTTGTATTTTTATTTGCATCTGTTTTTTCTAAATCATTTCCATAAAAGCTGTAAATCTAGTTGAACTGTGACACCACATTTGAGCTGTGACCTCATAGTTGAGTTACATTGAATTTCATAAATTTGAAAAATATTAATTTATAAAAATAATTAAGATAACTGCTATTTAGTCCCTCTTTTATAATTAACACACGTATTAATGTTTAATAAATCGGATTAGATTAGGTAGAAGGTTAAGTATATTTGATATCTTCACCAGGGGTTTTAGATCCGCTCCACAAAGTTTATGTAGAGCGGAGCGGATCAATAACCCTTGACTTGGGAAGATGGTTTGATACTTCTCTTTGAAAATAACTACATCTTACTTTATATAAAAGCACTCGACATCTGATTATTTTTTTAATTTGTTTGTTAACTTCATGTTTATGGGTCAAGGAAGTGTGAATAATAATGACGTACAACATCAGTTTTATAATAGGAAAAACAATGGTGACGGCAAAGTTCACGTTCATCTCCGACTGACTCTAGCGTACAGCTTGTTTATGGTCACTTTTCCGATAGGAAAATCACTGCAGATATTTATAATGTATATTACATACATAAGAAATGAAAGCTTGAAGCTTGATTATTCTGTTCACTCATCAGCAACCCAGATTCTTTTGCTCCTGGCTGGACGTTGAACTTGCAACTCCAGAGGTTGTCAATGACACCCAATCAAACAGTCATGTGTCTTCCACAAGAACTGAATTTTTTTTTCCTTCACATGGGTAAAATCAACAAATAAAGGCATCTAACTCCTAATTACCAGAAGTAACCCCATAGTTACAAACAGAGAGACGCTTTCAGAGAAACTGCAATGGAAAACTGACAGTACCTTGAAGATTTCTCTTCTATTGTATTTATCTACATTTATCCATATTTCTAAAACAAACACATTTTTCTTATTCAAGTTTCATTATATAAAAACATATTATAAAAAAACTGTATATACATTTAATATTCATACCATGCATAAAATGTACAATGGAATCTAATTTTAAATAATTTAATTCTGGTTGTAACGCTGTATTTGATTGGATAAAAAATTTACTTTATATCGTATAAAATGGGTTGCCTACGTCACAATGACTTGCGTCAAAAACGTATCAATCCGCCTGACGTTACATTCAAATTTTGTACAAATTGAAGTCATTTTTTTTACAACAATCATCTTTTTTTCTTACATCAAATGAATGAAAATTAAATTATAAGCAATGAATTTAATAGCTACCCATTTTATACGGTATAAACTGGGTTGGAACAGTTTACGCTTTTTCATAAATTTTATACGGTATAAACTGGGTTGGAACCGTTTTACGTAAACTGTCCCAACCCAGTTGATACCGTATAAAATGGGTGGCTATTAATTCATTCCTTAAGCAAAATAATAACAACACAACTGTTTTTAAAATGAAAAATTAGCTTATTTTTTATAAGAAAGTCACGTGGTTTTTGTGCTGCTTTCGTTTTATCCATTGTGACGTCACAATCATCTTAACGTCAGCAATCTTATCCATTGTGACGTCACAATCATCTCAGCAATGCTTTGGAAAATTCGATCGCCAAGGGAAGTTTTGTTGTCAAGATGGATATCTGGTTGAAAGATAAATCCTTTCAGACAAAGGACCCAAGCAGTAAATGTGACTTCTGCTACCAGTCTGGGGTGCCTGTTAAACCTCTGTTATGCAACAAGCATTTCTATTGTAGCGTCTGTGAAAAGTTCGCTCCTAAGTTTTGCAAGAGAGCCGATTTTACGTGCAGTCGTTGTTCCACTAAAACCAACATCCAACATCAAAGAATAAATTTAGATTTCAGTCCTAACAATGTATTCTCGGAGCACACAGGGAAGAAAAAACCTGAATTTAAAGAAGTGGCAATTGCAATGGAAGGTGGCACTATACTCAGTTTTGGTGGTAAGATATGTTTTAAAAGAAATTGTATTTATATTTTTTTTCAAAAGGGGATACGCGCTATGGAGGAGAGCTTCTGATGAAAATAAAATCTGTAAACCCATTGTTCATTAAGTCGAACATATAGATGTGGAGTTTATATGCATATGCAATTCTGCAATTTAAAAATGTTATTCTAAAATATACTAGTAACTATGTCTGATGGCGATATTCCAGATCCCGATCAAGATTCTGATGACGATTTGGAGGGAAACAACGTAGAGTGGGATCATTTGTTGCAGTCGATGACTTCTCCACAGCCAAACCTGGAAACAGAAAGAAGGAGTAGCGAACAAATCAAAAGAAATCACAGACACGTTCTGTCATGCGCGGACGGTCCTGAGAGTCAAGAATCAGCTGTGATTCGTGGGTTTAAGGAATCACGTGATGAAGTAAATAATCAGAACACCTCTCTGAGATCTTCAGAACATTATAGACGGGGTAATACCCAAAAGTCGGAATCTATGAACGAGAAAATTACGAAAAAACAGGAAAAGGGATCATCGACCGTCAAAACCACGAGAGTGAAAGAGGTTAAGGAAGAAGAAGAAAGGGGCTCATCGCCCGTCAAAGGTATACCGGTATACAAGTAATGCAATAACAAATAAATCTTTGTTTCAAAATGATCACGAATGTAGCTTAAATATAATTGAATGCTTTTAACAATCTTTTTTTCCCCTTTCGGACGTTGCGGTTTATTGTTTGTTTGTTGTTTAACGTCCCTCTCGAGAATATTTCACTGATATAGAGATGCCACCACTTGCTGGCGGAGAGCTGTAAATTTTGACCTCACTTGGAACTTAGGGCCATTGAGCAGTGAGGGATCTTTTTCATGTCAGCATCTACTGCGACATGGGGGTCTCGGTTTACACGGTCTCATTCGAATGACCCAATCGGCAATCCTCGGCTGACTCCGCTACGCTCCATTCAAACTTCGGATGTGAAAGGTGGAGGAATACGCATGACCTGTCTCCACGTTCTACAGTATTCTTTGAAAGCAAGAACACAGTGTTGGGCGTGCATCAAAGTAACTCGGATTTCGCAATATAATGACTGAATCCAACTCCTTATTCCGCGACTCTTGCGAATGACCTGTCAGTTCTACATCTCATAAGGACCAACTCCTTATTCCGCGACTCTTAGAGCAGAATCTCTTCCACTACACCACGCGGGTGACGACCGTGTGGTTTAACTGCACTGCATCTGCAATTTTAGATGGTTGTAAATAATGACCAATTTAAAGATATTCCAAATAATCTACCTATTATTCAGGATTGAGGCCGAAGTTTTCCCGCTTTGAGACGCTCCCCGGAGAATTTTCTGAGGACGAGAATGACTTCAGTCCTATTGGCGATGTGGAAGGACCGGAAGTGAGTGATGGCGAGGGTTACCATGGTGACTCAGAAGAGGACTTTTGGGTTTTCTAGCCACTGAAAAAATTCCTTTATGTAAAAAATAGATATTTAAGTTTTTACTATGTAAATATAAAATAGATTATGTTTGTTCAAAAATCAGAAGTCATTTACATATTAATAAAGTAAAATGTATTTATATTTGAACACAGTTTTCTTTTGTTCATGTAAAATTGGAGTACATGTGTATTTGGTTATGGACACGGCATATCTCCACGATAATTTTATTGTTGGATTTTTCTTCTCTCGTGGATGATTTATAAATTTAATCATATTTAGAACCGAGTCTCATATTTAAAAAAAACTGCTGTAAAAGCGCTCACAGAGTCGTTGATTTTGTGAATTTTATAAACGTTCCTGACGTAGAATTAAATTTCATGTACAGACAATATGAAAAGAACATTTTTGTACGGTAAAAAAACATTTAAAAAGGGGGTGTGGTGGGGATTATAAAATTAAGACAATATAGTTACATTCTGGAAGATCTGCAACAAAATTGCGATATCTCTTTAAACGATATCTTTAGAAAGTTTTATCACATAAAGCACTTTTAACGTTTGCCTTTGTATTGTGGGAAGGGGAAGCACTTTTAACGTTTGTCTTTGTATTGTGGAGAGGAGAGGGTCACATTGAACTATGTATAGAAAAAACCGACTTGTCACTACTGTAATGGTCAATGGTTCCTCACGAATCGCCAACAAGTCAACAAATGAACACATCGTTCTTTTGAAACCGACGGTAAAAAGAGTAATCCTGCTGAATAAGGAATCGGTCTTTTCAGTTCCACAAACAGAAATTATAACATATTTGTAAGGTCGATGTAAAAGACTTTCCAATATTTTCCCCCGATCACGTCACGGCATTGATTTCACGGGCCGCCCTATCGAAGCTTCAGACGTTACCTGCATCAAGCGCCTTTATTCAGTTTCATCTTTCATGCAAAATGTATTGAAACAAAGCGATCGATTTTCTACGACAAAATAGAACTGATGTTAACTTAAGTGGTAATCTATAAATAATTCATTACTACCCATTGTTCTGCTATTGATTGTCTTCAATGCCATTCTAAAAGGTGTTCGGCCGTTTTTCTCCACAGATTTAGTAACCTTATCACAGCTGAGGTATTGGTTGATGCGACAGCAAACTCGAACAGACAACTAAGAAATTTATTTGTGTTGACTCAATAGATAGTCTCTTAAGAATACGCAAAACACTTGTCACTTTTGGCATTGTCACCATGGTGACATGCGCATCGCAATAGCAGTGGTGGATTTCCAAACCAAACAAGCTTTCAGTCAGGTGCTGCTGATACCTGGCCGCTACGCATGCGCACTCACAGAATATTCATTAGTAATAATTAAGTTGCTGTACTCATTATGATTTCCTGGTTTAGAAACAGTAATACCTTCCAGAGAATGTGAAAATGAATCTAAACATGGATATTATTTTATTTTGGAATGTTGCAAAGGTGAAGGAATTGTGGTGTTTTTATTTTCATCCTTAAAAAAAAACTGCAGACATAGATAGAATTGGATTTACTCGTCTTCTGGATGCCCACGTGAAATCGAAATGCCGGGAGCAAGGAGGGGACTTGTCGCCCCCCAAAATACTTTTTTAGAAAACATCATAAGAAGATCCAATGGCCAACGTAAGTCTTTTCCCCCTCAAAATATTTATACACCATTCTGAGATAAATTGGGTATCTCTACCTACACCTATACCACCATACTTTCACATTTGACATTGAGTGGTTTTACTAATTGATAAATTCTAAGATTTTATAATTTACAGTTTTAAGTCACTGATTTTACTCAACAGATTTTTTTTAATTTAGGTAATTTGTAAATGACGAATGAAAATGAACGCTTTAGTATGCTGCAATCAATCAAATAATTAATTACTAAAGCTTTATGATAATATCTTTTATAATCAATTATTTAATAGTTTAAAAATGGAATAATTTGGAGGGGGGTAGGGAATATCTATCTTTTAGCAATATACTGGTTTATCTTACGTTTAATTACAATTTAAAAATCAATCAAATTATTTGAAATATCATGTTACTTTTAAATAACAAAATACATTTCTCGTGAAGTATAATAGTTATGAATTAATGGCTGGAAAACAACGTTGACAGTTTTACAAAAAATAAAACTCTCAGTATTGTTTACTAGGATTTCACACGCAATGACATGTCCATGGTAACAAAGGTACATAAAAAAACTGCATAGGGAACCTTTCCCACCCAGAAGAAAAACTACATTTTGCGATATGGAAGCAATTCTCCCATTTGCAAATTAATAATAAAAGCAGAAATTAGATAATGAAAAATGCCGATGATGACGAATAATGAATTATTAAATTACAGACACTCATGGGAAATCAAAACTCGACTTCCATTAAAAAGGGGCATTAAAAATTGTGACAATCTTTGGTCTCCAGATCAGATAGCATGGGATGGTATATTCAGATAAACAGGGGGTTCCAGGAGTAACCGTTCACAATAATGGACGCCGTCACATCATGTTTATCTGCGACAGTAACCCCCTGTCAATTATTAACGCCTAATTAATGTGTTAATGCTCTGCATGGCCTACCATATTTTTGCTCAGTTGAACTTTATATTAATTTTTTAAACTGATATTCACAAATTTATTGTATATAATTAGATCATACAATAAGAAAATATATTGATTTTAAGTATCTCGGACACAGTATCGAGTATTATAAGCAGAATTTTGCATACTAGTATTCCCAGCCACTAATTGGCATTTATTACCAATATCTCGAAGTTAATTTTCTCTCTCTCAACGAGTTTGAAATAACGAAATTAAATGTTTCTATGTACATTTTCATTTCATAAAAAAAAAAAACGCTTTTTTTCATAGTCTGTATATCACTAAGTTTTAACACGTCATGTTTTGCGAAATCAAAACATCACAGCAGAACCACCGGGGAATAGGTTCTTATTCTTCCTGGAATCTGATTGGTCTACATAATCACAACCATTTTACTACTATGCAGTGGTAATTTTATTTTCATAATTGATGAATTAGATGTATTAATTTAATATACACCTCTTAAGGTCAGTTCCCTTGAGTTGGTTAAAAAAGAGTAAATGCGGGTAATAACCCAGTGCAGGAAAAGCAATCTCTTAAACACATTAATTCTTCTTTGAAAAGGTTACCATAATGGTAATAATATTTCACAAATAAATTTTACTCATAGGAAGTGAAAGGCAGAAGCATATTCTTTTTGGTACATTTATCAAGTCGGATATTTTGCATATCTAGGTATTATTTACATAATTTTTTAAAGTGAAAGAATGAACGTGCAGAAACCACAAAGAAGATGGGTGAATAAGGCGGGCAGAGTGCCTATAGTGCGACAGATAAGAAGTGAAAATTTTAATCCCAATTGAATCCAAATTTTACTTGATGTTTCATCTAATATTAAAGTATAATTTATGTAAAATCTCTACAATTTACAAAAATCTCACATAGACTGAAAATATTTGCCTATGAAAAAGCTTACACACATTAAAAAGAACAAAAACGGTCATTTTCTCATACTTAAACAAAATTTTTCAATATGGGTGGGTCTTCTCTCCATTTTTTTGAAAGATGATCCTAAAAGTGTGCAATAAAATACACATTTTTTGGTTTTCAAAAACATGGAGAGAAGACCCACTATACCTTAAAAGTACACTTTTATGACACAACATTAGCATCTTTCCGAGAAATACTTCAAGTCCATTAAGTCGCGGGTCATATCACAAACATGATTTAAATGCCTTAAATCACAATGAGTGGTGTAGCATAGTGGTTAACGCGTTAGTCTCAAAGCGGTATACTATTGATACGTCAGATTTTTATTGCTAGGGTTCGAATCCCTCGAATACCATCTAATAAGTTTATGAAAGAAAATTTTTCACGAGATTTTTTTCTCTCTCAGAAAAGTTTTTTTTTCTCATTATTTCAAAAATTTAAATAATTATAAGTTATTTAAATAATCAATTCACATATTTAATATGATTTCTTAATATCTGACGCTATAGGCATTCTGCCCGTCTTGTTCGCCCATCTTCTTTGTTAAAAATAAAACAAATTCAACCCACAAAGCAAAATATTATACAGTAAGTATCAATCATATTACATTTTTTTAAAATCAGAAACACAAAATGCAATAGGTTTTATAACGATATATATTCAATTTTCTCTATAGTTTAATTAAGGAAAAATACAATTAGTGGTAAAACACAGCTGCCTCAGAATGAAAATACATGTACATGTACTGTAATGCATCTACATTTTCCTCGGAATTAGTTAAAGTAACTTCAGAAGCTAGTGAAGTGTGATGCATTACTCGAACATATAGCATTTTGTGGATTTGCATACCCGTTATAATTTAATTGTGGAATTATTTTAATTTAGAGGAGTATATCATTTTCTTTGTGTAATGCTGGAGCCGGATAGAAGGATACATTATTGACAACACCAGATATCCTTTGACGTCTATTTACATTAACTAAGTCTTTTAAATCTGATACTATAATCGGCAGCCGCACAAAGACTCAGTGTCAAAATAGTATAAAGTTTAATTTGAAAATACAAATGTCTTATTTTATCGTACTTACATAAACTCAAATGACCAAGTGGATTTGATCCCGAGCTGGTTTTCTCTTAAACTTACCCCAACTATGCAATGACAGAAAAAGGAAAGACAGTTTTCAGTCATGTAAAACTAGTCCCTCTAAATTGACAGAAGAAATGACATAGAGATGACAGCGTGAGGAGAAACTCATGCAGTTTTACTAATAACAATTAAGATCAGCCTTTGCTCTTCCTACAAAAATAAAAGGATCAGCCCTTTCCTCTTTCTATAAGTATAACAGTATCAGTCTTTTCGTCTCCCTTCTAAGAATGATAGAATCAGTCCTTTCCCCTCCCTACAAAAAACAGGAAGGATCAGTCCTCTCCTCTTCCTACGGAAAATAACAGTATCAGTCCTTTCTTATTTCTACAAAATAACAGGATCAAATCTTTCCTCTTCCTACAAAAATAACACAACTATCCCTTTCCTCTTTCTACAAAAATAACAGCTAGGATCAGTCTTTTCCTCTTTCTACAAGAGTAACACAACTATTGTCCTTTCCTTTTTCTACAAAATAACAGGATCAGTCATTTCCTCTTCCTACAAAAGTAACAGGATCAGTCCTTTCATCTTCTTACCAAAAATAACATAATCTGCCCTTTCCTCTTCTCTAAATAGCATTGGATCCCATTTCTATCAAAGATATGAGTGGAAACTTTAGAACTTTTTCATAAAAAAAAATAATAAAGGCATTCATAGTTTTAACTATTTTCTTTCAACTTCATTTAAAAGAAAGAATGTTTATTTGAAGAATTTCAGAATACTTTATAGAGTTTTTTTTTCATTGAGTCCAAACATAAACATATCAAATACCCCTTTTTCTACAAATAGTCAAAGAAGAGTCATGGTGGTAAAAAACATTTTAGTCCTTTAGACTTTATATAAACATCCAGAAAAGTGCGTAGAAAAGACGACTGGGGACAGATAATGAAAACACATATGTGTAATTATTACGTTTTAAAAGTGAAAAACGCAATTTTCCCCAAAAATGCTGGTATAGGTATAGCAATCTTAAGCTTGCCATGGAATCAATCAATTTTAACGGTTTTTCTGATTTAATGTCCTTTTAAATAGGTCATCTCCTCTGTAAGACTGTAAAAGATATAGATGTGCAAGATCGAGGAGCCTAGGGTTACTAAACATGAACTTAAACTTGATTTGTTATTTAAAATAAACATCTGAGTAAAGTATCACATTTCTTATATATGCTTCACATTTTAATTTCTATTCAAAAAAAATGGAAGTGAAAATAAGTGTACTGGCTTAGTGTGTACTAAAATTTGGTTCGTGAGAAAACGTATGGAAAAAACAAATGTATCATCTATGATCTAACAGTGCGTCAGCACCTTGATTCAAGGTCACATTTCAAAATTCAAGGTCATTTTTAAGGTCAGATTTAATTTTAGGTTCATTTTATTATCAAAACGATAGATCATGGCTAATTTTTTATGATGTACAGCAGCAGTATTGTATGTTCTTCAACAACCTTTATAGGTTATTATAAGAAATGAAGGTTATCACTTTTTAATCGTAACTTTTAAGTACTTAATAAAAATCAATAAAAAGATTAATTAAAATTCGGATGTCTAGAGATAAATTGAGTCAATATTCTACACAATTTAAAGTTCACGACTTAAGTTTAAAGATAATCATATTGTCTGCAATCGGTATATAAGATCCAATAACGACTTCAGATCTTGTGGAAAACCACAAGCATTTACCTTAATTAACAATTTGATCACAAACACACAAGTGTAGTGAGTGTTAATTCTAATTTCATTAAGATATGTCAGATATGTACTTAAATTCATCAGAGAAATTAACAAATACATTGTAATAGAATTTTTTCTGTTCAAATAGATTTACTGCTGTAAACAGTATGTGCATGTAGCTCGCAACATGTATTTTAACGTGGAAGGTATGCTTTGGTCAAATTAAGATAAAAAATTTTTTTTTATCCACTACATATATTGATCCAGATTTCCTCATTAGATA